CACACACACACACACACACACACACACACACATACACACCACACACAAAACTCACCCAAGACCACACAGCTAGAAAATGATAGCCTGGATCTGAACTTAGGCACTGTGAATACAGGATCAAGTCAGTGCCACTTCAAGCAGCTTCTACCCTCTGTCATTCCAGTCTTTCCAATTCACGAGAGAGAGAGAGAGAGAGAGAGAGAGAGAGAGAGAGAGAGAGAGAGAGAGAGAGAATATCTGATTGTCTGGTCCAGCTCCAGCTCCTCTGTGCATGTCCTGTCATGGTATGTGTGACTAGACCAACACTCAGTGCCCTTGAGTCAGGTGCCCAGGCCTAGTCCAATCAACTAGCACCAAGTGGCTGGCACCAGCTTCGCCTGCCCGAACAGTGTGGACTGACTCCAGGACAGGTGTCAACGGCTAGTACCTGGGGCAATTCTGAATTTAGGTGGAGCTCCCGTAACAGACCTGTGCCGCACACAAATCCCTACTTTGAAGAAGGCCAGTGTGACCCAAGTTCTTCATTCCTGTCACAAACACGCCCTGGAGGTATACCTCACCCCCTTGTAGAGCCTGCATATGGCAGGGAAGGAGAGGTACAGCCTTGGAGTCTGGCAGCCTGATACAAATCTTGCCATTTTTACTTCCTTGGCATCTGCCTTCAGCAGGCCTTGTCTGAGTCTTTTCATTGTCTATCAAACGGCTATAATAGCCTAGCTCATGACAGGGATGAAGGGTTGTAATAAATTTTCTTGTTAAAAACATAAACAAGTCATTTGGGAAGAAGAAACTTTAATTAAGAAAAGGCCTTTATGAAATTGGCCTGTAGGCATGTCTATAGGTCATTTTCTTGATTGATGTTGCAGGGTTCAGCCCACTCTAGACCCTGCCACCCCTACAGCAGGGTCCTGGGTTGTATATAAAATGAGCTGAGCAAGTCATGAGGAGCAAGCAAGCCAGAAAGCAACACTCCTCCGTGGTCTCTGTTTTAGTTCCTGCCTCCACTTTCAGTGATGGAGAGAAACCTGAGAGTTGTAAGATGAAAAAACAAACAAACAAACAAACAAAAACCCTTTC